GAAGCATAAAAGAAAGAACTACAAGAGAAATTGAAAGAAATGGTTTAGGAAAAAAAAAAGGGAGTTTTAATTGCAATCCTTTGAAACACTATCTCATCCCTCACAATCTGAGTTTTAATTGCAATTGTACTACCTTTGTTTGCATTCTTCAATTGTTCTGCATAATCTCACAACCTAGCATATTGTTCTTTGTAAGTACCTTCAATTAAATCTCTGGCCAGCTTCTTTGCCCTAGAAACTTGAATTTTTGTAACATTTATTTTGTAATCTTCCAACACATCTTCTTGAAATGATTCCAAATCAAACTCTAAGTTTCGCTTGAGTTTGTTTGCATATCTATCACAAAGCCGTTTGATGTGGTATACCTAAGCTTGTCCACCCTCCCACACTCATTATCTAGGTTCAAAGCTTTTATTGCAAATATCCCTTCCTCTGTATTAATCTTTGATCCATATACTTGGAATGAACAACCTTCCACACATTTTGCCTGAACTTGTCTCTTGTCATTCTTTATCAATTTCACTTCTCTACCATGTATAATTGCATGCTCCTTGATAGTCTCTATTAGTAGTTTTTTTGTTCGCAAACTTCATTCCCAATCTAAACTCAGGATTTTTCAAATCCACATCTCTTCTATACTGCTTAAACTTTGGTAGTTTTTTTTTTAATTATTTTATTATTTTTTTAATGTTACCTTCATCTTCTTTCTCACTTCCAGTGTGAAATTCTGATGTGTTAGCACCATCTGATGACACCTTTCTTGGAGCCTTATGAGTAGTCCCCTCATCTGCTATATTCTCTTGAACAGTTACCCTGACCTCTACCTCATTTTCACTGAACTCATAGTCACTGTCTTTAAATTCTAAATCCTCATATTCAGTTGGTAATTTTGCCCCTTCATCATCAATTATCACATTTGCCACTACATCTTGATTTGGTAATTCTATCCATGCATCTTCATTTGCCACTTTTGTCCCAACATTCTCAAAAGTCTCCTCATCTTCATTATAAGCCACCTCTTTCACTTGGGAAAAGTCATTATTTGCCAATTCATCAATGAAAGGCCACGTCACAACCCTACCACAATTCTCTGCATCTACATCATAGTCATAATCTTCATTTCCAAACTAGACCACTCAATAGATGCTTGACTCCAACTCCGTTAAAAATTTCAATATGAGTATAGTATAACACAATAACCTTATTGGGTGGTATGTGACTAACAATTTCAACCACTTTAGCATCAAATGTAAGAAGCTCCAGTCCACCCTCAACATTTCTATACCTAATTTTCAAATTTTGCTGAACTTGAGAAATGTCAACATATACCCAAGACCTCTCCCTATTTTCATTAAATCTAACAAAGACAGAAAATCATCTACAAAATTGTCCAAATTACATACCTTACTCTTTTTATAAACCCCATTTTCAAACCAACCTCCATGCTGTAATTCTATAGTGCATATTCCATTGGTAGCTGCAAAATTGAAATAACAATATGTTACTTTAAAGTCATAGTTTTGTTATTAATGCTAAGGACAACAATTACTAAGTTTGGTGTGAAGCAAGGGACCACAGACATAAAAAAAACCCCATATTCTGTAGTCAATATAGCATAAAGCTAAACCCACATACAGGAAAATGATTCCTTTACCCTTACTTTAAACATAAAACAACCAAAAAGTCAAACACAAAAATAGGAAAAAGAATCTTTTACACATAAAGAAACCGCACTTCCAGACAAGGACAACTCATCTATTTGCAAACAAAAACAATATAAAATGCATTACAGAAGCCCTTATCATATTTAGGAGCCTCTTCACCAGAATGGGATTCGAACTCCATTACTAGCAAGCAGTGAATTTCCCAAAATCGCCAAAATCAAACCCTAACCCAAACTCCCAAATTCAAACTCCAAAATTAATATTGAAATTACACACTAACTTGACCAATTCAGCGACTTGCATACTACTAGAGCACGAACCAATTCAGCGACTTGCATAAGAATCCCTTTTAGTCCATGGTAATTGTCTAAAATGATAGAAACATTGACCAAACTTTAGGTATTTTGCTTTTAAAGGATAGAGCCTCTCAAAAAGTTGTATGTACCCTTCAAAACTCAGTCACGTGGTCATCGTCATGATAAGAAGTGATGGAATCTGTCATGATAAGACCGTCTTGATACTAAATGAAGAGTTAAAGGACTATTGAAATGAAAAATTTAGTTGATAGACCAAAATGATACTGGAGTAATAGTTGGGGGAACATTTCGGTCAATAACCCTTTAGTAATTAGTACCACTCATACCCTAATTCCATATGGTTTTGTAAACAACTTCAATAGGAATTCGTAATCTAACTCTTTTCAATCCATATGGTTTAGTAAACAACTTCAATAGGAATCCAGAATCTAATTATCCTCAAATCAATTCAATTCCTCCTAATCCAATTAAGGATTAGTAAGCATGCCATCCAAGTAATGAACGTAAAAATAATAGAACGAAAGATTTAACTCTGCATGTTGATTTTAATATTTGAAAAATCTATGGAAAATGATCATTTGAAACTTTTGAAGGCTTTATGAAATAGATAAATTTCAAATTTAGTTAAATACCCATTCCTAGACATAATGCTATAAAGAAATCCTATACCATTTAATTTCTATAAACAAGCCCAAAAAAAACCCAAAACTAAAAAATCAACAGCTTTACATTTAATTAATTTAATTAATAAAATGAAATACATTTATTGCCCTTTTAACATAAAATTGGAATTCTAATCCCTTTATTTGGCGTTGAAGCAAGAGCAGAGCTCATTTTCACAAGCTCTAGTCTCCAATCTTCATCTTCAACCCCATCTTTCTGTTTTTGTTCTTCCATTTTTTATTTTGAAATCATCTTTCTCTTTGGACTTTTTCGATTGTGCGGATGTTTATGTCTCTTCTCCACTGTTGGCTCTGACACTTTTTCAAGGGACCAAGCCTGAGCTCGCCAAATCGGATCACCTCGATCTTGATCTCTCCAAGTTCATTCTCATATACTTTCTTCTTCATATTTTTGTTTTTTCTTGTAGATTTGTGGACGAAGGTATTAGATTGAGATTATGGTAGAATTGTACAGTGATATCAAAGGAGCCTCGATCTCGACACGTTGTCTCAGCGGAAACGACAGCCGAGGACCTCGCCAGTTGTTCCGAAGGACTGCACAACAACAGCAGTTCGTTGCCTCGTCGTCTTCAGTTGTTGAGGAAGACGGGGATTTCACCGTGTCTTCACGTTTTGTAATTTTTAGTAACCAATTCTAATAGGAATTATTCTTACCTAACGGTGAATGTATGATGAGGAAGAAAAAATTAATTGTACTCTAAAGAAAAAAGGGAAAAGAGAAAGCTTCATTACAATTGATAGAGGAATTCAAAGCAATGTTTATAAAGCCCTCTTGTAAGAGAATCTCCATAATACATTACCAAAATCGACATAAAATTAATTTAAAACAAACAAACGAACTTACTGAATTTTTTAGAGTTCATGAAGATGAGAGAGGAAGAGGAGAGATGAGAGAGGAAGAAGCGATGTGATGAGAAATAAAACCAAAAAAGGAAGAGATTATGTTCGCTTGGACTAGTCTAGCGGGCAGTGGATCAAGGTGGCACCAACCCCCAAGCCTCACGCGGTGGCCTCCTCCTCTTTAGGAGCCACGTGGCCAAAAGCTTTCGCTCAGATCACATGGAACAACTCTTTGCTTGGAATGGGCGGGCAAGAAAAGAGACACATCTAACCCGACCCGTTAATTTATGTTCGCTTGGACTAGTCTAGCGGGCAGTGGATCAAGGTGGCACCAACCCCCCAGCCTCACGCGGTGGCCTCCTCCTCTTTAGGAGCCACGTGGCCAAAAGCTTTCGCTCAGATCACATGGAACAACTCTTTGCTTCAGACCAAAAAATACAACTCTTTGCTTGGAATGGGGCGGGCAAGAAAAGAGACACATCTAACCCGACCCGTTAATTCTAGGCCAAAGTTCCATCACCTCAATGCCCCACTCAAATTACAAGCTCTCGTTACTTAGCTCGGCAATGTTGCGTCGCCTTACTGTGGTTAAAAAGCGTTCTGTCTAAACTCGGTACGTCGATGTGGGACTATTTCTTCAACACTAGTAGCTCTCTCTTCTTTTGGCATAAGTGAATTTAAGGTCTATTTTGAAGCTCAAATTTTCATCCATGACTAAGTATTTGGTACTTTCCAATACCAGATTAGGAAGATAACCTAATTCTATCAGTGCAGAATCACTAAAAACGGCTAAATCAAGAGTTAGAAGCTTTTTGTTCCAGCACCAAAATGTTATCAAGACTGCTGCATTTTTCAATTCTTCACACAGTTCAGTCAGTGTAGCTTTTATACAAGCCTTGAGACTTCCGCTTAGGTCCAACAAATTTGATAACACAGGGCAATCTGTATAGTTAGCCGAAGAAAAAGGAAGCAAACCCTTTCCATTATCTTTGCTCTCTCTTATATTTCTCCAAGCTTGGCAAGAATTTTAGACAGAGGGTCTTGGCCCTCTCCATCATCTTTTGGGCATTGAGGAGTCTTCCCCTACATCCTAGCCTTCATCTCTCCGAGACTAAGGCCTAGTTTCAGATTCCGGTGCCTTACAAATAAGCTGCCATCTTCGAAAGCAACCCGGTTCGGTTAATGAAAATTTACGATTGAATGCAAAGCAAACCATGCAGAAAATCCAACTCCACAACAGAATCATGTGAGTTCACCTCAAACCCGAACACAGCATCTTGCTGCTGTTCAACCATGTTGTGGTACTTTATCTCTTCACTCCCCTATACTTACTTTCTGTATCTCTTCAGCATTTGCTAATCTCTTGGCTTGTATAAACTAATCTCTCATTCAAGTGCTAATATCACTCATTTCCTCAAGTTTGAGTTGGGAGTCTTCTTGAGACTATTTGTGGAATATGCACCTTCTTTGAGTTGAGAAGAACTAACATTTGAGTATTATTTTCTCAAATTCTTTAGCAATATCATAACCATCGTGCCTTTTTCTTTGTGGAGCAAAGGATAAAAACAAAATGAACTGCACTAAACAAATTGTCAATCTTGTTATATAATAGAAATTTTGAATTAGTTACTAACTGTGGACGAGGGGGAAGAAAACTAGCATGGGAACAAAGGCAATAACTAGCTTCAATTCCGTAGTGCCTAACCCCACCCCCCAATTGCAGAAACCAGAAGAAAAACCGCCTTTTCTTGGATCACTAACTGCCACAATCTCCCTAGTGCCTCCATTGTTCTTCAAAGCCTCTATTTGTTGAACTATAAACTGGCAAATTGATCCACCAGAAAGGGGATCTAGGACATGGCCCTTCTTGTGTAGGGCTTTCCTGATTTGAGCAGGAACTTCAAAGTGATCGCCAGTCACGGTTGTCCAATTTTCATACTGAACCACATTAGGTAATAGCTGTTAAGACAGAAATGCACCAGATTAGAAGCTTTAATTTAATGGATAACTAAATTGAACTTTACGTTTTATGAACGGTAAAAGAGTAAGCCTCTCTTCTAATCAAACAAAATGCAAAAGCTCAGTACTGGAAAAGCTGAAGCAGTTGGCGGCAGGGTTAGAGCAACGATAGGTTGCTCAAGGGTGGACCATCACCTAAGGAGAGTTAATATGTTAACCAATTACAGAAATGAATCATAAAAAAGAATTTTTTTTTTTTTTTAAAATATCCCTTAATCCTATTATTCAGCTGCTATCCAAGACATTTTTTACCCATAACAAGATATGGGTGAAGTCTTCACTACCTTAAATTCATTATGAGTCAGTTTTAAATCAAGCAAGGCTACAACTATCACTCCTGCAGTGACATGCTATATATTGAACAGACCCCACAATCAACTTTCAAAAAGACGTTTTAAACTGGAGATTCAGCTCTATTCTGAAACTTGACCGTAATCAGGAACTTATGGTTCTATGTCACATAACATATCTCAAACCCAATGAGGTACCATTTTTCTGTTTAAAAATGTCAGCATTAGCAGTTACCATCTTTACCATACAGCATAATGGCTGAACTTATTATGAAAAGTATAAATTCCACTGAAGGTATATCTTGTGTGCGTGAGAGTGTGTGTAATCAGAATGGGACTTAAATGAAAACCTGATGATAGACCCTCGGAGCCATGACCGAAGAGAGTGGATCTAGTCCCCTTGCAAAATGATTCAAAAGAACCTGTGCAGTTGCAGCAATGATCATGCCTCCCCCACTTGCTCCTACTACTGCTTTCAGTTGCTCATCCTGTCAGAGCATATATAGGAAGACATGAAAATATTGCTCAGGAATACACACTGCATAGAAAAACATTAAAGTTGAAACTTCCTATTGTTCTTTTATCTACCCCTGTCTTCTCTCTTTCACTCCCTCTTCTACTTCTCTCTCTCCTCATTTCTCCATATCGCTTATGCATTACCTTCAGGACTATAGTAGGTGTCATGGATGATAGTGGCCTCTTTCCTGGCCTGATGAAATTGGGCGGTGCTGGAGGTGGAACTGTAGAATCATTTCCAGGTATAGAGAAGTCATCCATTTCATTGTTTAAAATTATTCCTGTACTTGACGACAGTATTTGTGCACCGAAATATCCATTCACAGTAGTAGTCATGGAGACGGCATTTTGCTTGTTATCTATGATGGACAAATGACTGGTTCCATGATCATGGATCTGGTTCCACCTGTTAGGAAACAAGGATTAGTATAAACAAACAAAGAGTCTTGGATTAGGAGAATATGTAAAAGGGCCTCTACAAGCACAAGCAAAATACGTGAGAGTGAGAGCAAGTTACACAGGATTTTACCCTCTTTTTTTTTTTTTGGTAAACAGGGCTTTACTGCTTTAGTTAGGCAGATTTTGTATATAATTTAGACTAAAATCCCACAACATTCATATAGCAACATTACCATTTTCTATCCAATGTTGACTGCCAACATGAATGAATTAGTGAACGATGAAAAATAGTTTAGTACATCTTTGTACTCATGCTTGCATACATGTGGATAGCATTCCCTTCATCTGAAATTGATGAAACTAGACGCATTAGAAGTAAATGGACTTCTAAATGGATGTATAAGAAGCTTGAGTAGCAAATTAAATAGAGACAAAACAAACTCAATGCGCCACCATTTTTAAACCACTTCCTCATCGCCGAGAAAACGAATTCAGTAGTATAATCAGGAACTCACAACATTAGTTCTATGCACATTGAAGCATTGCTACTCAAGTGCATATATGTACTATTCCATGCATTAGCAAGAAACAGAATTTATATTAATAAATCTTGGACAGAAGAGATAGAAAATTTGGTAACCAAAACAAGAATAATTAGTTAAACGAATGTATAATCTAACAGGTAATAAATATTGTTGGCAATTAGACAACATACCTGCCTCCATAATGGCTTGGGTCAAAAGTCCTGTTGTCATATATGGTCTTCTTTAACTCCTCAGCAAACTTAGGAGAAAGCATATCAGCTAGAACATTAGTCACATTAACAAACTCAGGATCACCAAGATTCATCCTCACCGCAAATACATGTTTCAAGGACTCGATTTCTCGATGGACCCAAAGAGGATCAGAAACTCCAGAAACGTTTCCATATTGAGAAAGAATGTTTAGCATCTGTAACAGTGGAATTGGAGTTCAAAAAAAAAAAAAGAGAAAAGAATGCAAGAACAGAGATATATACTCACAAGTATCATTGGAGGACCTCCGGAAGGAGGAGGCATAGCAAGTATTTTAAACCCAAGAGTGTCATAAGATATAGGCTTGCTCAGTTTAACCCTATAATTTTGCAAATCCTTCATTGTCAGTATTCCTCCAACCTTGTGAATATCTCTAACCAATTTGGATCCGATAGATCCATTATAGAAGGCTCTGGGACCGAAATTCGAAATGTCTCTGAGTGTCTGCGCCAGTTTCCAGTTACGAGATGTCTCACCTGTCTTCAAGAGACTTCCGTTTGATGTAAATACATGACGAAGTCCCTCATCTGCCAAGATTCCTGATTCTGTTCTGCGCATCTGCATGTTGAGGTATGGTGAAATCTTAAATCCCAAACGAGCGAGACGCTCAGCTGGACTTACAAGCCTTTTCCATGGAAGCCTTCCATATTGTTTCCAAGCTTTATGAAGGCCTGCAAGTTCCCCTGGAATTGCTATGGAGAGAGCCCCTTTACCTTTCAGCGTAGTGTTGGAAGAATACATGTTCTGAAAGTAGGAAGAAAGAAAAATCATAAGCACCAGGCAACTCATTCAAGTCTAATGGAAGAAAGAGCTTTTAGTATAAAGCAGGTCTAAACCTCAGAAGCTAGCAAGGGAGCAGTTTCTCTCATATCAAAGGCTTGTGCCTCCCCGCTGGCTAGCCTGATAAGCATGAAGGCTCCTCCCCCTATGCCACTTGATGCTGGACTCACAACCCCTAAGCAAAGAGCAGCAGCCACTGATGCATCAACGGCATGACCACCTTCGCGAAGAACATGCATCCCAATTCTGGAGCATCGGCCATCATCCGTGGCAACAGCAGCATGGCGTCCTGAAATTACCTCTCGCCTTTTTTTGGTTGTACTGTTGGTAGCATCAAGGCTTGAAGTAGGAGGCAACCAAAGAATTATGGTAACCAGCAGCAGCAGCAGCAGCGGATCTGCAACCAAAGAATTAGCATCTACAAATTATGAATTCAAAAACCCATTTGCTGAAACAGATGAAAGAAAATTCCAGAGTTACTCACATTGCATGGTTACCACCCCGTACAAAGCTCAGCTTGAACACTTGCTTTTTCACCTTTTTCTTCGTCTACATGATCAGAAGAAGACAATCTACAAGCCGCCAATGGGCTGTTTAAAATAGCAATTGTGCACAGGTGGCGAAAGCACACAGGCGAGAACGTCATAGTTGGGATTAGGCGATAGGTAAGCGATAGAGGAGAGACTAATTCAAAGATTCGTGATAGAGAGCGAGAGAGTTCAAAAGTTACTCTCTTTCTTTCATTAAAGTTTTCACCGGTCGAGTGGGCTCTGATGTTTAGTTTTCAAATATTAGCCCAAATAAGAGCGTCTAAAGCTACGTTTTGCTTTACATAACACTATTTTTTTTTTTAGTATAAACGATTGTCTAAATTACATCGAGAGGGAATTTCTCACAACATTATATTAGAATTTCTATTTTGGATTGGAAGTACAATTTTGGATAGAAAAAAAAAAATGTTGAACATTGTGTTTGGATGCTTTTGCAATAACAAAAATACTTTGAAGTAATGGAACTGTTTTGGAGTGCTTATTGAAGAGTTAAAAGCGCTTTCTGACAACTAGAATTATAATAACCCGATCATAAATTAATATTTAATTATTAAAGTATTCAAATAAAAGACAATTTTACTCCATAAATATTTTAATGGGCTTAAAAGTGACTTTGTGTTTGGGAAAAAATTTGGGGAATTGGGTTACACCGTTGCATTGGGCTCATCGAAACGAGTTCGTATACACGTGGCACACCCAATTTCAAATTATAATGAAGGAGGAAAGGACTAGAAACAAAAAAAATGTAATGGGAATTTTAAAATTTGTTACTGTAGTAAACAGTACCGGTACAGTACCGGGCTGTTTTCAAATTTTTATTTTTCCTTATTTTTTCTGCTCCCTTCTCCCTCTGGTTCGCATCAGCCACTCCCCCTGCGCTGTTACTATTCATCCGACCCATTTTTGGGTCGCCACCACCACCTCCGACCACCAAACTCGACGAGGTTGGTACCAAAAGAACCAGCGCGACGTCACCTTGCTATCCTGACCATTCGCCGCCCCAGCCGCCGCCGTATCTCTCCGGAATTCGCAAAAATCCGGCCGGTTTGACCCATAACTTCACGGAGTTCGTTCGGGCGATTCCGACTACCAAATCTTGCGATCTAGGTATGCTTTCTCATCCTCTCAGTGTGTTTTAGCTGCTGGTTGGGTTGTTTAGGATTAATTTCTGCGTTTTGAAACGGATTTAAGCGATCAAAGTTTTGGCCGGTTTCGGCCCTCGATTTCGGCCACTTCTGGTTGCTTTTTGGGGTTGGTCCAAGAACAAAAGTTGCTCCATTCATTGTTCTGCTTGACCGGCGGTTTGAAGATTTTCTGATTGCCGGAATCGCTTTGGACACCCACGCGCTGTCCACTTGTGTAGCGGCTTGTGGGCACTGTTTAGGTGTCCCTCTTAGTCCTAAAATGATCCTCATGTCGTCCCAAGCATGACGGGTATGCTCGGATAGGAATTTGGTTACCGTTTGATTGTCGATCGGATATCGGATATTAGGCGTTATCCGGGTTTGATATGTTCAGACCTTTGGATCAACTTCATTTTCAAATATGTGATCTAGGCACTTCTAGGTTCATATATGACTTTGCGGATCGATAATAGGAGTCCCGGATACTCCGATTCAATAATTCAAAGTTTAGATAAACGATAACCATCTGATCGTGCGATCTTGAGCGATCCGATCGTTCGATTCGGACCAAACTTAAAGGTCATGTATAGTAAACCTTGTTGAACCCATAGGAACTTTCAGATTGGAAATCGGAGGTCGTGGGCCCCGCGAGCCCAGTTGACCCAGTGTAGGAAGTTTGATCCTCGGTTGATCGTGAGTCCTCCGAGATAGTGTCACCCTTTGAGTAGTACAAGAATGACAATGTAAACGAGGTTTGACTGTTTGTGAACTTTTCTAATTATGTGCGAGCCCAGTTGACCCAGTGTAGGAAGTTTGATCCTCGGTTGATCGTGAGTCCTCCGAGATAGTGTCACCCTTTGAGTAGTACAAGAATGACGATGTAAACGAGGTTTGACTGTTTGTGAACTTTTCTAATTATGTTTGGATTACAAGTTTATGTTATAGTGTTTGATGATATTATTGGGTGTTATTATGATATTCGAAGTTTAGCGTGTTAATTATTTATTTATTATTATTATGAGTATTAAAAAAGTGTATGATTGGGTGATATTGGAATGTTAAAATGTTTATGGGTTATCGGGTAATCGCTTTTATTTTCAAGGTCAGTGGTAAGTACACCTCTTCACACCCTATCTTTTTTTCAAGGTCTGTTTGATAATAATTTCATTTTCAGTTTTCATGAAATTGAAAATTGAAAATGTGTTGGTAACTAATTATAATTTTTAGTTTGTAGAAAACTGAAAACTGATTTCAAAATGAGACATAATTTTGAAAGCTACCGAAAATCAATTTCAGGTTTCAGTTTTCTATTTTATTTTTTCACGCTTGCTCTCGCCCTCTGAACTCTTTTTCTCTCGCTCTCACACTCACTCTCGCTTTCTCAACCCTCTCTCTCGCAACTCTCAATCTGCCTCTTCTCTCTTCCTTTGGACTTTCATCAAAGGTATGAAATTCTCTGACTTGGACTGTTTGGGTGTTTCAGATTTGGTGTTTTTAGGCTGTGGGTATTTGATATTTGGACTGTTATTGTGTTTTGATGTTACTGTGTTTCTGGGTTTTGTTGTTGCTGTGTTTTCGGGTTTTGTTGTTGCTTTGTGCTTGACTTGTTTTCTATCAAAGCGGCCCTTAGTATTATGTTTTCAATCTTCTGCAACATTGAACTGACGTTCTTTTTAACCATTTGAAAAGAAAAGAAAGAACTGAAAATGTTTCCCCCTTCTTTTTGGAGTATGCAAATTGGGTTGCTTGGCATTTCTGATTTAACATACTCTGGTTGTTGTTTCACGCATGAAGCTAACATTGAACACAAATTGAAAAATTGACAATTTTGTGTGTCGTGAATAAATTTTATAGTTGATTTATGAATTTTTGTGTGGATATGATAGCAGAATTTACCAGTTCAAATGGCAAGAAAAAGAGCTAAGAAAACTGTAAAACAAGTTGCCTTGTCACCAGGGACTGATTTCAATGTTGCGGAGGCAAAGGAGCCCCAAAATGCGAAACAAGAAGCTCAATTCACAGACCCAGATGGTATAATTTCACTTCGCGCATCTTATATTTGTGTTTCTACTGACAGCATTTGTATTTAATTTATTACATTTTTGGGTTTTTTTTTTCTTTTCTTTTTATAGGTTGATTGTAAACATTCAATGGGTAGTTGTAATACAGTTTCCATGTTAATGAGAAACTCTGCTTCTGATTCTCCATCGGAAAAGAATGATGTCTTTATTTTTCTTTTGATGTTGGGGCTGTCCATCCTTCTATTAGTCTTAAAAGGTTTTGATTTTCTAATCCCCTCTTTATTGTCATCTGTCCAAAATCCAGATTCAATGAGCAATTTTTGGGCATTTAAGTTGCTAAATTATATTTTAGAATTCAAATTTCAATTAATTTGTGACCAAATGCTTGTATTGTTTGTTTGTGTTTTCACAGTTGAGCGGCAAATTTCTGCCATTAGGGCTATTCGTGATGTTGAGACTGAACATCTCCTGACTAATTTGCGTTTGCTTCGCTCCTACTTCAACAAGGAACAGCAGCGAACCCCTCTATTGCAATATTTTAAAGAGAACTTTCAAAACCTGTCGATTGTAAGAAATGGAGAAAATGGACAAATGGAAGTGCAATGGATTGACAAAGATGGCAATATATCCATGAATGATGGAATGGATTTACATGAGACTCTTCTTCGCCGGTTGTCCATTGCTTATTCTGGTTGCTCAGCTGCAATTCCATCTCTTGGTGGCTTTGAGTTTTCTAGTAAAGCAGGTATTAAGAACTTTAGAAACTCCTATTTTTTGGACATGGGGATCTCGAATTTGAGGAATGAGTTTGTACCCCTCTTTGTTTGTGTGTTTTTTATATCTCACATGATTGAGTTGGTTGGTGGCAGATAGAACAAGCCTTCTGGGTGCTGATAATCTGCAGATCAGCGACTTTGTATGTTCTCTTCTTATATACACGTCTAGAATAGTGGAGTTTTCAAATGTGTCTAACACGAAAATAAAAATGTGTAAATACATTTTTATATGCTTATGTAGCACACATGCAATTAATATATAGTAAAGGTTCAATTCCATGTTGTGCACACAAACAGACACAGACGCACACACACATACACATATGCACACACACATACACATATGCACACACACATACACATATGCACAGATGTATATGCACACAGACACACATGTATATGCACATACACACACATGCATATGCACATACACACATGCATATGCAAATACACACACATGCATACGTAAATGCGTACATCCATCCATTCATACACATACAGATTTTTACCATGCTGAAATTTCTATTGTAGGGTTTAGAGGAGCCATTTGATACTCTGATGCTAGGGAAGCAAGATACTCTCCGAACTCCTGGGGTTTGTAGCTTCTCGATTGATTTATCATATTTAGGTCTATTTGAGCTGCAATTGGTTTTATTATGACAATTTGTGTTGTTCTGTTGATGGCTTTTGGTTAGATTTCAAATTCTTTTACCATAAATTTGAATAAGTAGAAGGCCTAAACGGCTTACTGAAGTGCATGAGCTCCAGAAGAATAGATGCTATCAATGTCTATCATCAGGACCCAAAAGAAGTGCTAAGCTGATTTTCTATTAGTGCTAACAACTACGAGCGAACCCTTGTTGCTTTATTGAATGTACGTAAATTAGGGAGATTATGTTGTAAGCCCTTTCAGAATGTTGAAGAGTCCAAAGTTCTGGACTTCTGAAAAAAATAACAGTAATGTTGACATAGACATCAATATGTAAAGGGGAAAACCGGAAAATATTATTAAGTTTCAGTGACCTTAATTGTGTTGAGAGAAAAATAAGTTATTAGGACAAGTTTTCTAGGTATTGAGTTGTGACAAGAGTATGCAAAAGTTAGTACTTAGTTTAACTGCCAGTATAGTTGTTGTTTGTCCTAAAACTCTCTGCTGTTGTACAGTTGGATATACTATTGAGCAAAAAGAGCATCTTGATGGCTCTTCCAGTCCGTATGATCTAATCAGCCCTGGTTGACACTGCAGGTGAGTAGCCAGAGGCTGTCTATTGGGATGACACCCAAGACGCGAAGGCTCCCGAAGCCTGGGGAGATGCTTTTATCTGTCCATGGCTCACCCCTTGGTGTTTACAAGGAAGACAACATGGAAGCCATACATGGTATGAATCCCTTCCAATGAGTACCTGTTCTCTCTCTTGTTTAAAATATCAACACTACAACTAGCACATGCTTGCCATTTATCAAGTGGAATTTATTTGGGCCTTTGAATTTCAAATTTGTCTTTCTTCCTTTTGTGAGATTATGGCAAATATACCCTTTTATGTAATGGATGGACTGATACAATGTATGGGAGTGAATAATATGTCCCTTAAACTGAAGATTTTCATTTCTTCTGCTTTCATTCTAATTTCTGGATTGATGGGCAGAATCGGAAGAAGGATGACTGGCTTGAAATGGCTCAAGTGGTCAGTCAGGATTCACGACTGTGCATTACTTGCCAATCTAAGGTTCTTTAATTTACTTCTAGCATTGTGCTAACAATCACTGTAGTGCCTGAAAATGCTCTTGTATCATTGTACTGACACCTTTGAGATTGGATTTATGTGAAATATATTCTACCATTTTCCCTGTATATAATTCATATGTAATTTTTGTCATTTGTTTTAGTAATTTCCCAAGAGAATCGAACATGAACGTTGATTTAAGCCAGAGCATGGTGATAGACTACTCGGTTTTACTCACAATTCATTTCTATCCACCAACATTGCTTTGATTTTTGCTTCTTAGTCATTCAAATGTAGTCAGCCCCTTTCAGATTTTCCATAAGTGCGAAATAATTTTAACTTTTGGTTTGATGTAATTTTCTGTGTTGTAGAAATGTGTGTTTGTGTCATGTTTAGGCCCATGTCATGAGTAAGATTTTGGTATCTCATTAACTTTTATTTCTTGCCTCTGCCGGTCCCATTCGCTTCAATCTGCTGATAGAGCAGGCGTTGCTGTCTTAAAGTGTCATTTGGTCTTATATCCCATGCGTTCTTGGTCTTCCTCTTGTCCTTTTAGTGGCTTCCCTTTGAATTGAAACAGAAAAGAAGTTTATTACTTTGCCTGGTAATAATTTCTTCCGCCGTTTTCATCTTCTTGCAATTCTACTGCTATTATAATCTTCTTCCCCCTTTACAGTAAGAAAAAAAAAAAAAAAACAAAGTCCTCTACTCTTCTCGCATTTGTGTGTGATTTCTTCTAATGTAGATGAAGCAAAATTTAAAAGGCCTCTACTCTTCTCACATTTGTGTGTGATTTCTTCTAATGTAGATGAAGCAAAATTTTACATAAGCGAATGTATGGTAATTATGCACTCTTTTTCCTTTCGTTTTCGTTTTGGTTTTGGTTTTTTGGGTGTGATTTCTTTTGTTCTGTTTTGTTTTGCTAGTGGAACCCTTTCTGAGCATGTTGAATAAATTCAAGTAACTCGAGTTCAAAGTTGTTAAATGGATAATTTTTTATGTCTGAAATTCCCCTGCGTCATAAAAAAAAAACTGAAGTTTTGAGGACAAATCAAATTGGTCTTGGAGGCCTAGAAAGAAAGTGATGGAATCCTGTCATAAGCCAGTAGGGAATTCTTCTCTGCCGGCTGAATATACTCCATCATAGAAACGATCGACATCATATTTTAATTTTGAAGCGTGCCTTGATATTACATCCACCCAAATATAACAAAGATTAAGTAGTATTTACCAAACACAAGGAAACAAAGAAACAAAGATTAGGACCCTTGTTTATTATAATTCCTCCTTGATATTCACTTCACAATAATTTAGTCGGCAGTAGCTTGAGACAAGAAATTCCATAAACAACTGGGAATTATTTCTCATCCATATCCTTGAGAATTTGGGAGTAATTAAATAAAGTTTTTTTCATTTCTTAATGAATGCGAAAATATAATTTAAGCTTAGCTAAGAGTGTGCTTTTTCCTTGATATCCACTTCAAAATAATTTCAGTTCCATAAACAACTTATCTCATCCATGTCTACGAGAATTTGGTATCAATTAAAATAAAGCTACTCATTCCTTAATTAAAATAAAAATTAGAAAATAATAAAGCGTGGCCAGACATTAAACTTAGCTAAGAGTGTGATTTTTTAGGGTGTTGTTATTTGGACCACATTTACTGACTAGTTATTGCTGACCATCTCTCTAACACAAATACAGGTGGATCCCATACACATTGGTGGGGTCCACCTCTAATAAAGAGGCGGTCAGTAAGGTAGTCAGTAAATATAGTCCAAATAGCATTATTGGTTTTTTAAATTTCATCTTCAAGGTAGTCAGTAAATATGGTCCAAATAGCATTATTGATTTTTTTTAATTCCATCTTCAATGCCGGATAAATATTTAAATAAAGCTTGGCTCCTCAGACAAGAGGTTGAACTTGCCCCTACTCATGTCAATATTAAACCCAAAAAATAAAAGAAAAAAATAATTCAAGTCATTGATATTGTAACTAATCGTGAGATCAAAGTGCTCCTATAAATATTTGCAGTGCAATATTAAACCAGTACAGTCTAGCACTTAACCTACTCAACCACTTAAGCACAACCAACAAGCTCAATCACCAACCTTATAGCTGTGTAGTAGAGTTAGCCATGGATTGGGTTGGGGCAATACTTGGGTTGCTTGCTCTTGTTTATGTACTGCAAGCATGGCTGTCCAAAAGCAAAAACGAGAAGAAGAGATTGCCTCCTGGTCCAAGAGGGTTTCCACTTTTCGGAAACCTGCACATGTTAGGGGAGTTCCCTCACCGGGATCTGCATCGACTAGCCCAAAAGCATGGTGACATCATGTATCTGCGCTTAGGCCTTGCTCCTGTTGTTGTTGCCTCATCCCCTCAGGCTGCTGAGCTGTTTCTCAAAACACATGACCTTGTTTTTGCAAGTAGGCCACCTCTTCAAGCTGCTGAACATATTTCCTATGGGCAAAGGAATTTGTCCTTCGGTGCATATGGCTCTTATTGGCGAACCATGCGTAAGATGTGCACCCTAGAGTTGCTTAGCAGCCACAAAATCAATTCTTTCAAGCCCATGAGGAAAGAAGAGCTTTCCATCTTGACTAAGTTTATTCAAGAGGCTGCTTGTGATCGTGTTACTGTTGATCTCAGTGGCAAGGTTGCGTCTCTCACTGCCGACATGAGCTGCCTGATGGTGTTTGGGAAGAAGTACATGGATAAAGAATTTGACGAGAGGGGTTTCAAGGCTGTGATCCAAGAGGGCATGCATTTAGCAGCCACCCCAAACTTTGGTGATTTCATTCCTTTTATTGCTCCACTTGACCTCCAGGGGCTAACTAAGCGCATGAAGGGTGTTAGCAAGGTGTTTGATGCATTTTTTGAGAAGATCATTGATGAACATATTCAATCTAAAGATCAAGAAAGAACTAAGGACTTTGTTGATGTCATGCTGGGCTTCATGGGGTCAGAAGAATCCGAGTACCGAATCGAACGCTCCAACATCAAAGCTATAATTTTGGTAATTATACATACCCAATATATTAGCATGCATATTTTTATATTGTTAGATTGTGAATTTGGACAAAACATGCATCAATCCATGTGCAACAATCAACCTAATCAACGGTCCAAATTCACAATTTGCCAAACCCGACTACATATCTTATAATAATTGGTATTTCTGTCCAAAAATTTCCTGCAGGACATGCTCGCCGGCGCAATGGACACAACAGCGACAGCAATCGAGTGGACACTCTCTGAACTCATCAAACATCCGCGGGTGATGAAGAAAGTCCAGAAAGAGTTAGAAAACGTAGTGGGCATGGAGAGGGAGGTGGAAGAATCAGACTTGGAGAAGTTGGAGTACTTGGACATGGTAGTAAAGGAGACCATGAGGCTTCATCCAGTGGCACCATTGCTGCTTCCCCATGCAGCCATTGAGGACTGCAATGTCAGTGGCTTCCACATACCCCGAAAATCTCGTGTTATGATCAACATATTTGCAATTGGGAGAGACCCGAGTATTTGGACTGATGCAGAGAAGTTCATACCCGAAAGATTCGACGGTAGCAATATCGATTTTCGGGGACGTGACTTTCAATTTATTCCATTTGGGTCTGGCAGGAGAGGTTGCCCCGGAATGCAATTAGGGATAACTATGGTCCAGCTTGTGGTGGCACAACTTGTTCATTGTTTTGATTGGGAGCTTCCAAATAATATGTTGCCATCTGAGTTGGACATGACGGAGGAGTTTGGTCTAACAGTTCCTAGGGCTAAGCATCTATTGGCAGTTCCTACTTATCGCCTTCAGCAGCAATGATATCGATACTAATATGTATGTGTACAATTTCCATTTTCATAATTTGATATTTGGTAGTGTCAGAATAAACCAACCAAATTTATCAGGTAAGACTATTTGTTGCGGGGATATCAATGAGCCAAATTAACAAGTTCTATTATCCATGATTTACTCATGTGTTATAAGGCTGTCATAATAATTTGAGTTTCACTTTGTTATGAATGTATTTAATTCTATATACCATATACTGAGTGTTGAAATACGTGCAACCTATGTATATAGGTGCCTAGGATTGACCAAAGGTGACCATAAATTTCATGCTAAATCACCTTAATTCATAATTCTTGAGTGTTGTTTATAGATTTTATTAAAGGGAGTTTCACTAATATACTCAAAATAGAGGATGAAATTAAAATAAAAAATAAAAAAAATAAAAAAACCCATATGGAATGCACTTTAGAAACACACCCAAAATTCATTTACTATATAAGAAATTGGTGTTGAAGTTCCTATAAATTACAGGACTACCACTGATCAAGCCCAACAGAAAAAAAAAACTCAAAAAGCACCCAAAACACGCCCAGCCTAATTTTATAAAAAAAGCCCAAACATTTTTTTTTTTTGGAGTTACAAAAAGCCCAAACATTTTATTACAACCCAAAACTATATCGAAAACCGTAACTTCAAGCACGCATCTTCATTAAACCATCTCTGCAAAACGTCTCTTCATTTCACCGTCTTCATCAACGCATCTTCATCATCTATGCAAATTGAAACTCCATAACCACCACCAAGCTTGATCTACTTTCAAAAACCAATACCACACACTAACCTCCACCTACAAAACCAAGACAAAATTTCAGAGAATAATTTAAACAAGAAAAGGCTTCAAAGGTAAGACATTTAAAAATCAAACCTTTACTGTAATGTTGATTAATTGTTGTAAAATTTCAATCTAGGGTAATAACTGTATTTTAGATTCAAATCCAGGACAAAATCTTGAAACTATATTGGATTTTCACTATTGGATTGACTGCATAGGACTATAAAATAGTCAGTTTTCAGCAACTCAAAAAAGAAAGAGATATTTAGAAATATACATATTCTTAACACTACTAGTTTACTATCATGTTAATTAATGACTATAAAGTTCTAGTGTAGGATAATAACACTGCTTGTTTCCTATGGAATCCTATTTCTAATTTATGTCTACCACTGTAAAGTTTTAGTCTAGGGTATTAACACACCTAGTTTCCTATGAAATCCTATTTCTAATGCATGTTTGTTATTATAAAGTTCCAGTCTAGGATAATAACAATATTTTAGATTTGAATCCAGGACAAAATCTTGAAACTATATTGGATTTTCACTATTGGACTGACTGCAAAGGACTATAAAATAGTCGGTTTTCAACAACTAAAAAAAAGAGATATTTAG